GGAGCTGCGGTAGAGCGAGCGATCTGAGCAGTGCTGGACACGCATCGGAGGTTACAGCTGGTAGAAAGTGACTGTGATTTCTGTGGAGGAGAAAGGAAGTGAATTTATTCTTATTTACTAAATGAATGTGGTTTGGCCAAATGTTTTGGTGAATGCGTTTTCATTTTCAGATGTCATTTCTGTTTTCCTCACGTTAATTTTTGAGAATGGGAAACAAATATTATACTTCCAGGTTTTATCAAGGTATTTTCTTCGGGCAAAAGGATAATTGCAGCAAAATTCCATTTAAAAATAACGTTTATGAGATTCCAGTTGTTTCTGTTGGGTGCAAAAATATTCAAACCTGTTCCTTAGTAAGGAATTCCCTTAGTCCTAGGGGACGAAACAAAAAGGTTTTGTCCTCAAAATCCACATGTTGGTTGTAGACAAGTTACATCAGGCAGTTTGAATAGGAAAAAGCACTTAAATTTTGGTTTACAAAACACTACAGAAATCAAAAGGCCTGTAAATGTGATCTTCCCCCACCACTCCGTCCTTGAAGAGCAGGTCCTTTCTTCCAGGTGTCTCTTCAGCCCAGGGACTTTCTGGGTCGCGGCACACTCTGCGTCGTCCCTCTGGGTCTCCCGTGGCCCAGTCGCGCTCTGTGCAGAGGAATGTGCCGCAAGAGCAGAAACCGAACAGCTAAACCCAATGCCGTCAGTCACAGCTGGCCGGATAGAAGCCTTCGTCCAACTTGAGTCTTTGAAAAGCGTGCAGTGGAAGTATTTTAGCAAAATAGCCTGGAAAATCCCAAGTATTTAAAGCCGATTCCTGCAAGCAGCACGTGTCATCCTTCTTTCCACCACCACCCCATTTTCACATCTCAATCATGAATTTGTTTTCTGTTGAGAAGGTTACGGGCACTAACTTTCCATTCTTTGAGGCAAATAGGGAGAGCCACTTTTAGCCGTGCCTTTTCTGTGTTATCTACTCATAAGAAGTGCTGCTTAAGACTAAGGGACCTTTTTAAGATGGATTTAAATGATAACTTGATGGAGAATGAGAAAGTGTGTGGAGGGAAGTGTGCTGGAGTGCTGTGGCACCGATCTGAGCCCGTGCCACTCCGCTAGCAAGGTCTGTGATGGGCAGCCCAAGTGCTGCTGTGTATTTCTGTGTTTCAGCTTGTATATTCCATCTTTACCTAGTCATATCTGGGGGCTCGATAAGCAGAAGCAGCAGGCATGGCCCTGACATCACCCTCCCCAGCTGGTAACAGGCACGGGGGGTATTTTGGGCAAGCGTTTGGTTCTACTTTCAAAATTTCATACGTGAGTACAGGCTTGGGACGGACCTGCTGGAGAGCAGCTCTGCGGAGAGGGACCTGGGTGTCCTGGTGGACGACAGGGTGACCATGAGCCAGCAGTGTGCCCTGGCTGCCAAGAAAGCCAATGGGATCCTG